TAAAGAGGATCCTCTCCCAGGATCTGGGAATTCATTGTCTGAGCCTTGAACAGTGTTGACCTTAGTAGAGCTTAGTAATAATTAAGATGAGGTTTTAGCTCCATTCAGTTGGAAAGTTGGCAGTGGAATGAATTCTGAGTTTATTTGGGAGGAAGAAGGAAGAGGAGGAAAGTGGTTCCTTGGGTGGATTTTTCTGTGTTTCTGATGGGCTAATATAGACAGAATCAAAGACAATGCTGTGCATCATTGCATGAGTTATTTGGGACTCTTTGTTTGGTGCTGGGCTCCCTAGAAGCCTTGGCACTTGGTTCATACAGGAAGGAAGGATATTATCACAAAGCAGGTCCCATGAGTGGTATGCAGTTTTGTGGATCCCAAGTGCCACAACATGGTCACAAGAACTACTTGAATAGAAACTTTCCGTACAAAAAAGTTGTCAGGCAACTCCTTCTATACTAAGCTGCAGCAGTAGAAATAAATGGGGTGAAGGACCAATAATTTGACCAGCAAACTTCTTGCTGCCTTCAAGAGGGGAAAAACTTCCCCAAAATTCAGGAAGTGGCAGTGTGAGAAGGGCACCAGCAGCACCTGTGATCCTTACATGCAAATTTCTTCATTATGACTGGATTGTGATGTATTATGAGTGAAACGGATTTTCATCAATAATTGTACTTATTGATGACTGAAACTGATTTTTGAGCAATCCAGTCACATCAAATAAATTTGCATGCAGGGGGCTGCAGGAGCCAAGGTTGCATTGGGGGTTGGGAGGGGAGCAACATCCCTCTGCCAAATGTTTTATTTTTTAAACTTCTGACTCCCACCTCCAAAATTGTGGGACTGTGTGCACCCTCTTGAAGGCAGCATGAAGTTTGCTAGGTAAAATTATCGATCCTGAACCCCATTTATCCCTACTACAGCTTATTGGGAGGAAGTTGCCTGACAACCTTTTTTTTTTTGGAAAGTTTTTATTCAAGCGTTCCAAAGCAGTTTTATTCAAGTGCCCCAAAGCGGGGCACTTGGGATCATAAAACTGCATACCATTCAAAAGGGAACTGAGCAAGCTTTCATTTGGTATTGCCACAGCTGAATTTGCTGCTGAGGTGTTTATGAAGTCGAAAATTGGTTCACATTTTTTTGGCCCATCCTGTATATGTAGGGTGGCGACGGTTCAGGACATAGTCCTTTCCTGCTTGCGAAAGGGAAGAAAAAACGGACCATGGAAAAGAAACAATTGGATGGAATACAAGCTGACAATATTTGCAACCGAATCGATCTTCTTGGAGCACTTGCCTCTTTGATTTTGGATTTGAATCCTTCATTTTACACAAGCTGGTTGGATTCAAGATTGCGCAAGGTGAGTATTGAAACAGTTCTTTAGCGGTTTATATGATGTTGTACCGTGGAATTCCGATGAATTTCAAAAATAATTCAAAGGTATGCTCAGAATTACTGTATTTACTCAAGTACCACGCGCACCTTTTTTTCTAAAAATTGGGGCAGAAAAATAGGTGCGTGTGGTACTTGTGGATAAATTTTAGAGAGAAATTCCCGAAATCAGTGCCCTTCACATCCAAGTAAGAAAAATTGAAGAGGAAAAGTGTGGCGCCAAGTCTCTTCCTGCATGGGGAATAAAATTGGCTCAATTTGTTTCATCCCTTGGAGATGCAACAGGAAGTGAAGGAAGGGGGTAATATTCATCTAATTGAGGAAGCTATCCTATATTTCAAATGCATTTTAGCTGCTTCTGTGGATGGAAAAAGACAGAAAGACAAAATATTGACCAGGGAAAATGAATTTAAAAATAAAACATTTTCACATTTCAACTTGATTTAACATTTTTTTATTTTCAGCAACAGTAAAGAACCAGGCTGCGCGTCTTACATAGGAATAGGTTTTTGAACTAATTTCTGGTGGAAAAATGGGGGTGCGCGCCATACTTGATGTTGCATGGTACTTGAGTAAATACAGTATTTCCAACAATCAGGACCATGCCTAATCTCATGTCAGATGTGAATGCCTATATCTTGGAAAATTGCTGATTCCCATAGAGGTGGTACAGTCAACCCTCTCCAAGTTGAACTTCAAGGGATCAGCAAAAATTTAGACTTAGGGAGGTTTTGAATTGAGCTACAATACAAAGCCCTTTTGTTCTGGGAAACATAGAAAAATTGCTCAAAACTTTAAATTTTGATATTCTGAGGATGAAATTACTTCTTAAATGAGTTGAAAGAACCCCAAACTTGGAGGCAGGGTTCATTTGCCTAATTATGTCTCTTGCCTCCTTTTAAAACAAATCAATTTCTGTTTTTATTGCTTTTTCCTTTCTTGTGTCAAGAAATTAAAAGCCAACAGGCCACAGAAAATTTGACTGATGGAGGTTTGAGGGGAAAAGCCTTTGACTTAGGGAGGTTAAATGCATTAATTGTAAGGAGATTCAGACAGGACCTGAAAAAATTCAACTTAGGTAGGTTTGAGTTATTGAGGTTCAATTGTACCTTACAATTTGATTGTCCTGCAATTCAGTGGTTGAATTTGCAGGGAGGTTGACTTGCAATTTAACCTGCTTTTTCCATTTTTTGCGTTTTTAAACTTATATTTTGAATTTGACCAAGTGTCTTATTGCAATTTGATCAATTCAAAACTCAACCCTTGTTCGGCATTGGATGAGGGTCAAATTGCAAGGTTCTACCTGTATCACCTAGTTACATACGGTACAGTACTGTATGCACAGTATATTTGCTCAATGGCTATTGCTCAACTTACATTAGCAAATTCATTTATTGTAAACTCAGGATGTTGACCCATTTACAAAATGTTATGCATATAGGCCTCACTCAGGAACCAGCATTGACGAAGCACTCTCAAGTACAGTATTTGAGTGTCATTTAGGCAACAATAAGAAGACAATTATGTGGAACTATCTGTCAATGTACTGTATATCCTTTGCATTGTCGAATTATTAGCAAAATTCTGAAAGACTCAAGGAGAATGCAACACAACCTCGGCTGCTGCAAAAATGATGGGTATCTTAAAATTTTGGACCTTATTGGCAGGTGATTGTTCAAGATAAAATTCAAGGCATATTACTACCATACTTTCCTTTCACATTTCAGCACATGTTTTTTTCTACTTTGCTCTTATTTGAGTTCTGGTTTTGAATTTATTTTTGAATGGCTTTATACTCCATGTTTTTGAAAAGTTTGTTATAATAGCTGTACATTGAGACCCCCCACATGCAGACAATTTGGCATAGGGACACTTATTTTCCCATAAGAAATTAATCAAGAAGGCCCAACATGAGGACACTGACTCAACATATGGACATTGTGTGCTAAAATTGAAAATAAGTTTCAGGCCAAATTACAATAAGAAACAGATATTTCCAACCCTAAAACTGATCTATCAAAGAAAGTTCTTGGGCTTTTCTCTCACCAATTTACCATCCATTTAGCTAATTTTAAATATCACCTCCATCATAAATAAGGGACTTCCTTCTCTCTTTTTCACTTGATTTTATTTTTACAGAGAATGCCAACATTTCTTTGCACTGTATACAGATAGGTATCAGTATTCAATTCCCCAAATGTCCTCATTGTGTTGAAATATATGGATAAAATCAGTTCAATATGGGAGACAATTTTTTCTTTCATGGAATTATGGTGAGTATGTTGTCCATAAAACACCAATTTAAAATTATATAATGTGAGTCTAAGGGAAAATGAGACTGGACTTTGGGACACTTGATGCACCAACTACATCCACATCATCAGGTCTCACTGTATATTGCTTTTGTTGACATATATATAGGTGGCAAGATCCGTGATATCAAGAAAGGACAAGTTGAATGGGTCAGATTTAGAAGCTGTTTCGGCAGAAATCCAGCGTTTCCGATTCTTCATATTACTGGACGCTATGCGAGTAAGTAAAATATGTTTCAAAGAATTACCAAAGACGACCTCGATTAAACGTAAAAGTGTGATTCTTTGGCCTGGAATGCAGTCAATAATGTCTTTTGCTTTTATTTCACCCTATTGATCACTCAGAGAAAAACTCACAAGCTTGAGGAGAAGCTGTTCATTTCTCAATTTGTGAACAAATTATCCGATGTTGACATTTTCACGGAAGCGAAGGAAGCCGAATCCAGAAGACTGTTCAGAGAAGCCGAATATCCTTGTGATATTGCAGAAGAAAGATTGGCTCTGTATCCCACGGCTTTTGAGCAGGGCCTCTGGTACGCGTGTCCCAACGAACACGTATATTCTGTTAATGGTGAGTTTGGCGCATTACATGCAAATTATTTTTTGCTGCAAGTGTTGCAGTGTACTTGAGCGTTTGATGTCATATATAGTCCAATCGGTATAATGTGTTATTGGTCTGAAACTCTTCAGAGATTTCGATTTTGTCAGTAGATATGTAATACAGTAAGACCGCAAAATGCGGACATAATTGGTGCATCAAGAGTGTCCCCAAGTCGAAATGTCCCTAAGTCATGTCTTGTTTTCCCATAGACTTATATTATATAATTTTTAATTGGTGTTTTATGGGGGAAATATTCTTCAGAATTCCCTGAAAAAAATTGTTTTCCACTTGAATTTTAATTAGTAAATAAATTTTAAACTCAATCAGAACATTTGGAGCATTGAATAGTGTATCTCTGTCCTGTATATTGAAGTGTTGACATCTAGAAAAATAACATTCAAGTGAAAACGTAGAAGTCCCTCTATGTTGGAGGTAATTTTTTTAAATTAGGTAAATGGATGGTAAATTGGTGAGAGAAATTCCCAAGAACTTTTCTTACATCAATTTCAGGGAACCTTTATAGAAAAAGAACATTCATCCGGTCTTTACATAAACGTTAAAATAGTGTTTTACAGGGATACTTGAGTCAGTGTCCTCATGTCAGGCCATTTTTACAATTTTTTCTGGGAAAATAAGTGTCCCCATGTCAAATTGTCTGCAGGTCAAGGTGTCCGCATGTGGGGTTTCACTGTATATAGGCATGCCGAGCTGTGCGTGTTGGAGATGCTGATGATGACTTGCTGTCAATCAGATCCCAATTCTTGAATCCTTGCTTCAGAGACTTTGTTTTTCTTTTGTTAGGTGGTGCCTCACCTAAAAAACACAATAATTGGTTCCAACACTGCATTTGTTAGGTATAATGGTTGTAAGGCAGGTCAAATTTGCTCTTATGGGTCAACTCAAAACCTAGCCCAAGTGGGGAGCTATTCTTTGTGTGACCCCACAAATGGTGCACACTGGGGTCACAATTGGTGTACATGGGCTATTCTTTGGTTACAAGCGTGCACCTCTGTTGACAAAATTTTGCTACCATTATTCCTGGGCTACATTTGGTGCACAATTGTGACATAACAGGAGTATCACACAAATGCACCAACTGTAACCTTGGTGTAACTTATTTGTTTACAAATGTGACCCTGAGTAATACCTTGGTGTAACTTATTTGGTTACAAATGTGATTACCCTGAGTAATCCTGGTGTGAACACACAATTGGGGCACATTAGGGATATGCATGTGCAACAGAAGAACTTTGGTACACTTCAGGTGCACAGCAGGGTCACTGCTGTGTAGAATTACAAACATATGTCCCCAGTGTGCACCAATTTCCCCATTTGGGCTGCTATACATACTTCTATCCTGAGAATACTACAGTACATAAAAATCAGCCGGTGCAAATCTATCCACTTTGAAATGTTTTCTGATTGATGATTCTGTTGTTAAGTCCTAAATTCGTAACTCGCGTAAATGTTGCGATTATAACTGGCTTTGTTTTCCCATCAGCAGACTCCGGAATTTCTGGGCAACAAACCAAGTGCCCTGAGTGCAGATATGATGGGTCATCAAACAGCGTAACGTTCGAATTGGACAATACCAGAGGTTCTGCGGCTGCAGCTGCGTGGTTCGAAGACTACACTAGCGTTGCCAACTTGGACGGTTTTACTGTTACTGATGCTGAGGACTTGCTGAATCCGATATTTGAATGGTAAACATAATCGGATAAGATCGCGATGCTCTTCGACTTCAGGGCTCCAAATGATGGGGAAACAATTATCTGTATAGTGATCCTCTGAAGGAATTTCAAGTTTATTTATGGAGATGATGGTGGGGGAGAATATATACAATTGAACCTCTCTAAGTTGAATTTCTATAGGAACCAGGAAAAAAATTAGGTTTTGAGTGAAGGAAACGAATATTTTTGCTGCAAGGATAACTGGAAATTGCAGGTGAGGATATTCTGGGCCTAAATTTGCTACTTGATGAGTTTACAGCTATTGCTGAACTTTGTAGGTAGGGGTTCATTTGATCAATTATGTAGTATTTCACTTTATTTCAAAATGAATAAAATAATTTGTTTTGTTGATTTTCTCTTTCATATTTCAAAATAAATAATAACCCAAAGGCCTCAGAAAATTTGACTTACAGAGGTTTGAGAGAAAAATACTTTGGGTTAGGGAGGATTTTAATGCATTGTTTCTATGGGAATCCAGACTGACTTTAAAAAAATTTGGCTTAGGGAAAATTTGACTTAGCAAGGTTCAACTGTATATAGTACATATACAAATAAGATTTAGGAAATGCTGTCTTTCTCTGGAAAGTGGCGCTTTAATTGTGTTACATTATTGGCAAACTCTCAGGCAAAATCGATGATCCCGAATCAAGTACTTTGCACTTCGCTCATTTGAAATGTTGCACCTGGAGAATGCGTATATTGCATGAGTTTCTATTTATTCTGATTTTAATGAATATTTTACATGTATTCATCTTCATTCCAATCTGGTAAACTTTAAAATTTTGGGTGTAGGTCTAAAGCCCACCTCTATATACGTGATCGAGGCGAACAGATGCGGAATATCCTTATATTTTCTTTGGGTTATATTAATAGGAGGGTGTTTTGTGATATTCGTGTAGTTATTTTGTGGATTGTTCAAAGTATATGTGAGAAAAATGAATTGCTCCGGAAAATTTGTAGTTCTAATCTGCTGCATCTCAAATGCTTTTTTTTTGTATGATTGTCTCATGTCTTCATTCACCCAATGATGAAGCATCTTTTAGTATAGGAGTATATGTGATATTTTCTTATCCATGCGTTTCCATTTTTAAATTGACCCCAACAATTTAAGGCAGATGCGAGACAAACACATTCAGGTGGAGTATATGAGGCAAATGCTGGTATAGGAATTAGTTTTGGTGGAAACTGAAGCACAGAATCATCAATCTGCTCCACCATCAGCAAAATTCACAAAAATGAAGGATGTACATTGAAACATTTCAAACCAAATTCCATTTGTATTCTAAAATTTACAATTTTATTATTTTTGATCTGAAAAATTGGAGCTCAGCATATGCTGGCTCCTACGCTCTGCATTTCCCTTGTTTCTGTTATCCTCCACTCCCTTTGTGTGCCCCAGCCCAAGCCAGGAAACCTGCATGTGGAAATGCCTTTGAATAAGAGCATACAGGGAGGCCAAAAAAAAAGTTAACCCATGTTTGAATTAGGATATCTCCTTAAAATTAAGCTACAACCATGAAAAAATGCCAAATAAAATCTTTTCTATTTACTTTCAAATGGTTTTTTGTATTATAGTGCTTAGTGTCATCAGTCACAAAAACTATTTGAATGAATACCTTAAAAATGCTGTCACTTACATGCCTCTTCCCTCTAGCTTACTGTCTCCAAAACCTCCCAAAAATACCTTAAAATTAGTAAAATCCACATCAGTGCACCAGAAACAAAATCCAAGAGAAATACAAACAGGAAAATGAATGAGCCCATAAAAACCCACCCATGCAAAAACCAGCAGGAATAGAACAAAACCCATCCATGCCCATGCACTTGATAACCCAGGATGCAGGAAATCATCCAGCCAGACAACCACCCAATCAGCTCACTGACCATTCATTGAAGGATGTGCACAAAAAAGCATGCCTATATGGACAAAGCACTAACATATTTTTAGGGCGGTAATAGGTCTCTCCTTCTTTTTCAGGTAAGGACGGGACTCAAAACTCCGTAAGGGAACCCCTGATGGAAACCCTTTCTTTTCCACGGTACCCCGTTCCCCCTCCTCCTAACCCGCAATTGCACTGTATACAAAGGGAGTGTCGAGAACGAGAGGTCCCGACAAAAACACCTATTCACTCCACGTCTTTAAATTGGTCGTTTAGGTACTGTGGAAGACGTCAGACGTGTGTAATTTTTTTTAACTTGTCTTTTTCCTGTGAGAGAAGAAAATTTAACTGCTCCCAGTGAGGATTGTTTTTCTCTCTGGACAATGGCAGGATATTTAGGTAGTGCTTTGTCTGGTCCATCTTCTATAATGAATGTTCAGTGGGTGGTTGCCTGGTGGCAGGAAATCCTGCATCTTAGGGATGATTTTTGGGTTTCATGCTGGCTTTTGCCTGGGTGGGTTTTTATTGGCTTATTCATTTTCCTGGCTGTACTCATCTTGGATTTTTGTTGATGTGATATTTGGAGAGAAAGAAATGTGGGCGGCATCTGTTCTGTAAAGAAGAAGACGCTGGCATCAAAAATTGGAAGAGCTAACAATGACAGTCACATGGTGAATGTTGACCAACTGTATGCAGGAAAGGGGGGAAGGTATCAACCCCAGTTGTTCAAGGTCATGGTACACTGTACATGAAGCACAACAGAAGCATGACAATTTTTGATCATCAAACTTTGAATTTTTTTAAAATTTCCTTAAAAGAGAAAATTCCAGGGGAAATATGTCTTAAACATGTAATGTTAAATATATTACATACGCAAAAAATGCCATATTTGTGCAAATATAAGGATACCCTGCCCCTCTCCCAGATCTTGCGTTCTGCACAAAATTGAAATTCCATAAATGGGCGAATGTAAGCACTCACTCACTTTCCTGGGTTTTGAATTTCCAGGAAGCTAAATCTTTTTAAATCGATTTAGGTTTTCATTTCTAATGGGGTCACACAATCCTTACACTTTCCCTTCATGACTCATGCATCTCGAAATGCTCAAAGGTGTCCACTTCTTGATCACAGTATTTTCAACAATGATTCCAAAAGAACTCAAGATAAGAGCGCCAGATCCTTTTGTGGGTAACAATAATCATCACCAAGATATGCATTTATGCAAATTACTCAAATTTGTGTACACATCATAGGCACCCTCTAGTTCTAACAAAGATAAAAAGGAGGTGCATACATTCACCTGCAGATGGTACCATTTATACAGGTGGATGCTCTCTACAATAACCTTTGTCTGCAACTTTCTCCATTTAATGTATTTTCTGTGGCCCACATACCATAGGGCAGCAGTGCTGCCCGAATCAGAGGTGGCCAAGGACTACATTGATATCATATTCTCTGGACAAGGGTCTCACTGCAAAAGTGGGCAGTCCTTTCAGGCCACAATACAGGAAACATTTTTGATGCTCCAAATGTCCTGCTCATAAATTATGTTCAAAATTTGATTCAGTTTCTATATGCACTGAATTACAAGCACAACTTTGTAACAATTTTGAAGGGTAGAGCATAATTCTGAATCTTTCAATAAACATTTTGAATGATTGCTGTCGCTGCCACCTTGAAAATTGCATGACAAAGACTGTAGGATGGATGAAGAGTCTCTGGTGTACAGCCTGAATCTGGCACATGGGTCATACATTGAGCAAGCCGCCCTGTTACAGAGGTTCTCTACAACAAAAATGTAATAATGATCCCTCAAAGTTTTTGAAGAGAGCTATGTAGAGAGACTCCACCTGTATTAGGGCGTGGTTCGAAGTGCAAAAAAAAAGAGAGAAGCAAAACATTTCTTATGGCAAGATAATTCCTTTTTTTTTAATGTTCTGCCCTTGCAAAATTAACATTCACCGAGCGCGGATTTTGTTTTTGTTTCTTTTTTTGGTTAAGTACATCCAGCCAAATACCACGCACACAACACGTAATCATGTACAATTTCAACAAAAGTCCGATCCGACGCGAGTATTCTTCGCTGCACTGATCGCACTTGTACACTTCCGTGGTCCGCTCGCCGGAATGTTTTCTCTTCCTCGAAGGTTTCTCATCAGAGGACACCTGGAATATTCCGGAAAATATCAAGAGTTTAATCCTTGTTGCCATGAATCTCGTTATAAAAAGTAATTGATAATAACGAAGTTTTTTTGAATAGGTCCCTGAACCCATAACAGCTACACCTAAAATGACTTACTCTACAACGAATTTTTCGTTACAACGAAGCTACAGTATTTCACTGTAACGTGAACCTCTTATTCAAGTGGAATTCAAGGGACCAAAACAATTCTACTTCAAGAGGTTTCACGTTAGAGGGAAACAAGCACTTTTGTCCGGGAAATATTTCAACTCTTGAGTTTGGCAACCAACTGAAAGCATCGCCAGCAGTTTCCCTATTGATTTCACATGACAAATGCTTCATTATCAACTCATACTAAAATTCCTCAAGCATGAAGAAATAGGCATCACAGAACAGTTTTTGACACAGGTGACCTTCTTTCAAAGGCCCAAAATGGAAGAATCAAATAACTATACAATAAGAGGTTTCACATTTTCCCTGACAGTATTAAAGGAATACTTTGTTTTTGTTCCAGACCTTTGAAAGTGTACACAAAACTCAATAAGATTGTCATCTAAAATTTTCACATCTAAATTGTTCTTTTTTTAATTTTTTGAAAACATTAGAAGAGAAGCTTCAAGAAGTGTTGATGAAGACAGGAGCCCAAGAAGAATGCCATCAGAGAGGACAGGTGGAGTCAACACTTTCTCATCCCCAAAAAGGCATCCAGTAAATGTATTCGGGCCTCTTAGTCAATCCTTTCACACAATTTGATCACTCAACATTTCTGCACCCTCATTTTAACACCAAGCCCAATTTTCTTCACTTAGAAGCAGATTGAGAGAATTACTAAGAAATAAATTTGCAAAAAAACACAAGTATTGAAAGAGAAGTCAAAACCATGCAAGACTCATTTTATTTTGTTTCTTCTAACTTCAATCCATTGGAAGAGCAAGACAAATCATTACTGCTGGGAAATATATGGTGCCAATTCCAGACCTAAGGGGGTGTGCAATTTTGGGGGCCTGCTGCCTTCTAAATACCCAAAGTTTGTTAACCACATACAGTGAGACCCCAAGATGTGAATGTAATTGGTGCATCAAGAGTGTCCCTAAGTCAAGTCTCATTTTCCTTTGACTTGCATTATATAATTTTAAATTGGTGTTTTATGCACCAAATACACACCATAATTTCATGAAAATAAAAATTTAAGAGTGAAAAAGAGAAAAGGAAGTCCCTCTATGCTGGAGGTAATTTTTTTTAATTAGTAAAATGGAGGGTAAATTTGTGAGAGAAATGCTCAAGACCTTCTTTTACATCAATTTTAGTGTTGGAAATATCTGCTTCTTGTAATTTGGCCTGAAAATTATTTGCAATTTCATCACAAAATGTCCCTATGTTGAGTCAGTGTCCTCATGTTGGGCCTCTTTTATTATTTTTTTATGAGAAAATTAGTGCCCCTATGTCGAATTGTTGGCAGGTCAAGGGGTCTGCATTTGGGGGTCTCACTGTAGTTTGCTAACCAAGACCCACTGCTCTAATAATACTCTTATCAATCTCGGATTGCATTCAATCAGGGGAGGTCCCAAAACAACGAACCTCCTTTCCAGAGTCGGATCCGATGGAAGCAGGAAGCGTAGCCAGGGCTTGTTGGTAAAACAGGAGCCCTTGGCCCGACCACAACTCGGCTTTCTTGCCGTCGATATCGGCCAGGTCCACAACGGGTTTCGAATGCCGCTGAGAACAGTGCGCGTCCATTGTGGCGGGGTCCGCGGTGCAAAAGTCACAGAGCGAGCACTTGAGCAAGCTCCCGCGATGGACAATGATCATGTGCGTTTCTAGAGACGATCTGCTGTCCAGCACCGTTCCGCATTCCAGGCACACCGTTTTTGGCGGTCTTTGACCCAATTTCACACTGGAAAAAAAAAATATTCACAGGATAAATTCTTGAAATATACAGTAATATACTGGGATGAGACCATATTTACTCAAATACCACGCACCCTCCAGTAAGATTGTAATTTCTTATTTCAATTTCAGTTGAGGCTGAAGATCATGAATTGTGAAATATTTTCTTGTGGGTTGAACCATTTTCCCCCATTGGTATTTTGTTTTTCCTGTCTGCGCAGGAGCAGTTGAAATTGGCCAACAGAATATGGCAACCTCCTCAATTAGATTAATGTTTTCTCTTTCCACTTGTACATCCAAGTGATGAATACAGTATTCCCAAAATTTTTATTGCTTGAACCATTATTTCTCATTGACAAGAAGCTTGAAGTCATACAATTCCTCTTCATTTTTTTTTTTATTGTTCAAGAGTATACATGGGTGAGGGGCACTGGTTTTCAGGATTTTTCCTTGCAGAATTCATCTCCAATTACAAATCTTCTTCTGCCTCAACTTTTTTTTAAATTGTGCAATTGATTCTTGAATATGTTAGTTCAATTGAATTTCATGTGTCACAATCAAAAATCTACAGATAGCCCAGTCCACATAGAAGGGTAGGTTCCCTGCCCAAACACATACTCCAGTTCACATTCTGGGTCCCTAACCCCAAGATGCGCACACAAAATTGGTTCTAGGACACTGTACCATACATTGGAATGTCCACATGTCAGACATTGCTTTCCCATAAATATCAATAGGAGCATATTCAACTGGTTCCCTTTTATGTCAAAAAATTCGGAAAAAAGCCTCATAACAAATTAAATGAACTTTTTTTTTAAGCTTCAAGTTACAGAAAATCACTGTGCAGAAGAAAATTACAATCTGCTCATGTTAACATGAAAATAAATCTAAAAATCAAAGAACAAGCACACATTTTGGTATACTGTGCACAGATGATGGTGGAAAAAGCCTGAAAATTTAAGCAAAAATTCTCGTTTTAGATTTGAATAATGAATTAATGTGAAGTAATCACAAGGGCAAAGAAAGAGGAATTACAGGAAATTTTACTTGGTGTTTTTCTGGGTCTCGAATCACAGAACTGTAACTCTCAAATGGGTTGACAGGCTGCTGAACTTGGAGGGTTCATTTGCCCTACAAGTCTTTGACTTCTTTCAAAATGCATCAAATTAAATTTTTATTGCTTTTCTTGTTGTTCATTAAAATAATAGTCAAAAAAGCCTCCAGAAAATTTGAATTACAGAGGCTTGAGAGAGTAGGCCCTTGTGCTGGGGTGGTTTTTAACGAAGTATTCCTCATGGAATTCAGAATACAGGGACTTCATTGAGAAAAGTTTGACATAGTGAGGAATTCAACTACGGGAGGTTTTGGGTAATCGAGGTTCAACAGTAAACATGAACATAGCCTCAACTGTAGCGGATTCAACATCGCAGTTATTCAATGATTTAAAAAAAACTGGATTTCGCGTCACTGACACTGAAATGATCACGTAATGGGTGCCGAAAGGTCTTCGAATAGAAACCCACAGTTATATAGATTCAATGGCACCAGTACATATAGGAAGAACTTACTGTTCTTCTTCCACGTGCTTCATCAAATCATCCTGCATGTCAAACAACTGGCTGCATTTGGAACAAATCTTCTTGCAATGCACTCGGCCCACATGCAGCTGGAGTCTCTCCATTCTGGCGGCTTTGTAGTCACACATCGGGCACGTGTACGGCTTCACATGGGTGTTCAGATGTCGCTTCAAGCACCACGAGTCCACTCCGGTCCAAGGACAGAAAGAACAAGTGAATCTCTTCTCGTCAGATCCATTCGTCGTCGTCGTCGTCGTCGAGGGTCGGATTCGTGTCGCATCGTCATCCAGCAGAGCGGCGGTTGGCTTCTTTTTCGGCGAAGTTTTCGGAACTGGATCCGGTTTCAATTTCGCTTTCTTCGCTGGTCGAGGTTCTGATTAAAACAAAAAACAAGCACCACGATAAATATCACAGTCTAATGTCTTGATTCCATTCAAATTTCAAGAAACCAGCAGAAAAAATCAACTTAGGAGTGTTTTGATTTGGTAAGCACGCATTTTTGTTCTGGGAAAAGGATGAAGAATCACAGAAAATTGTAATCGGGGATATTTTCGGTCTTGAATTGCCTCTCGATTGTGAATGAGTTCAGGTGATGCTGAAGTTGAAGGCATCGGTTTATTCGCCCAAATAGTCTTTCACTTCCTTCCAAAACACATGAAGTTACAATTTTATTGCTTTCCTCTTTCTGGTGTCAATAAAGTAATAACCACAAAAATCCCCAGAAAATGTCAGTCATGGATGTTTGAGTGGGAAAGCCCTTGAGATATGTTGAGGGCAAACAGCCAACAGTAAAAGATTGTTTGACATAACAGAATTTTTTTTTCCAGTAATTCACACAACATATGAAAAGTGCATGAATAATGCTAATTGATTGTTCTTCTTTTTTACATGAGAACTTCTGTATAATTCTTATCTTTATTGGCAGCAGACAAAATTCCAACAAAAGATTGACTGACAGAACAAAAATATTTGTTTTCCTTAGTGAAACACACAACAGATGAAAAGTGCTTGAATAATAATTGGTTGTTGCTCTTTTTCATATGACACCTCCTCTAGTTCTCATTTTCATCTGCAGCCTTCTGTAGTTTCAACAAGGGCAAAACCAAAACACAGCATTTGAAATTCAGATTGGCGATTCCTGGTCCTTCCGTAAACTCAAGATTATCAAGTATCAGCAGCAATTTCCCAACAAGTTACACAGGTTTTCAAAACATTTGTTCCCAAGAGACTTCAGACAAGGAATTGAAAAAAAAAATGGTTACGAGACAACTCACATAGAGACAACTCACATAGCGACAACTCACACAGCGACAACTCACACAGCGACAACTCACACAGCGACAACTCACACAGCGACAACTCACACAGTGCGACAACTCACACAGCGACAACTCATATAGTGCGACAACTCACACAGTTCTTTTTTTTACTTTTTTTCTTTTTCTTTAATTCAGGTTCTGGCAAAAATGTATACCTTTCTTGTGTCTAGATTTTCTTTATCCTAAATTNAAAAAAAAAAAAAAAAGAACTGCGTGAGTTGTCGTGCTGTGTGAGTTGTCGCACTGTGTGAGTTGTCGCACTGTGTGAGTTGTCGCTATGTGAGTTGTTGCTGTGTGAGTTGTCGCTGTGCGAGTTGTCGTGTAATCGATGATTTTTTTTGATTACACAAGAACTCGCACAGCGACAACTCACACATCATAAATAGGACAGTACAGTGAGACCCCCACATGCAGACACCTTGACCTGCAGACAATTCAACATAGGGACACTTATGTTCTCATGAAAAATTAATAAAAAAGGCCCAACATGAGGACACTGACTCAAAATAAGGACATTTTGTGATAAAATTGCAAATAATTTTCAGGCCAAATTACAAGAAACAGATATTTCTAACCCGTAAATTGATGTAAGAAAAGTTCTTGGGCATTTCTCTCACCAATTTACCATTCATTTAGCTAATTAAAAAAATACCCCCAGCAGAGAGGGACATCCTTCTCTCTTTTTCACTTGAATATTATTTTTGCAGCCAACATTTCTATGTACTGTACAGAGGTATCAGTATTCAATTCCCCTAATGCCCATATTGTGTTGAATTATATTAATTGGAATCAGTTTAAATTGGGAGACAATTTTTATTTTCATGGAATTACAGTGAGTATTTTGTACATAAAACACCAATTGAAATTATATATTGTAAGTCTAAGGGAAAATGAGACTTGACTTAAGGACACTCTTGATGCACCAATTATGTCCGCATCTTGGGGTCTCACTGTATATTCGAGAGGTTCGACTTTTTGGGGGGGGGGTTCAACTGTAGTATGAATAAGTAAATCTTCATCTGAATATTCTAAAATGAAGACACGATGAATCACACTCACTTCCATGAGCCACAGGGAACAACGGGAAGTGATTGATCGCAAGAGCAGTGGGCGTGAATTTCGGCATGTAAATTAAATCGGGAACCGGGGGTCGGGTCGGTACGGCAGCCAAATGGAGTACCGGAGCCACAATCGGAGCCATGTGTCGGCTGATGGTGATTTCCGGCCCGGGAAACAGGAAATCTTCCTTCTTCATCGTCGACTCCATCTCCTTGGTCTTTCCTAGCTTATTTCCAGCCATCAGCAACTGGAACGACTGCGAAAGCAAGACAAGAATGAACTTGAAATTCCTCCGAAAATTAACACGCCGCTTTTTATCCTTACGCTGGGATCAAAATAAATGACCAATTTCAGAAAGTTGGTACACGAATCTCTCGGCGTCTTTTCCAAGTAATAACGACGAAATAAATTTTTACAATATCTTGGAAATTTACGAACCCCTTCATTCATCAAATTTGCCAGAAGGTACAATACCATCAAAAATCGAATACAATAATGTATTCGTCCTTGAATGCAAATGAAGTCGCGGTTTTATGTCCATCATGGCTTAAAAAAACCCACTTTAACGAGAATGAAAATTCTGGATAAATCTCAGTGCATGCATAATAAACTTCTAATATTTCACCCGCTGGAATTCTAAAGCGTCTCACACAGCTTTTCAAAAAATGTCTTGGACTGCACCCGTAAAATCGAATATTTTCTCTCCGAAATACAGCAAGTACTTAAAAATCAAGAAAAAAAGGCAGCACAACTTATAATGCGTGAGACAAGGAATGTGGAACGGAAAATCAAATTTTTGTGACCCACTGCTCCTGCTCTCGAGCGACGTTCACAACAGCTCAGGAACTCATTCAGCGAAGTTTTCTGCGCATGCTTTTTTGTGCCCAACACAGAAATTCGGAGCTCCACGACACTGCTACGCACGTACTTATTGTTGCTCAGAAATGAGAACAAGGTCCTCATCAAAGAAAATAAGACTCAAAAAACTAGTTCGGAAAAATGTCGTCACGTCCGTGCGCAGACGATTTCAAGTGATCATAACAAATTCTCACCGAACATCTGAACTCAAAAGGAAGTTGAAAGAATTTTCATTTTTTCGCCCATTTACCCCGTTTTATCTCGGAACTGCTTGGTTCTCGCTTTCCGTCTTGGGGGGAAAACAGGACAAGAAAGAGCAGTAGAATGGAAGAACAGGGATTTTCACTCGGAAGACACATTCAACCTTCCGTAGAATGTTTCATAATCAAGCGTCGCTTGAACATCGCCTGATTGATCGATTTACACATCGCAGTTATTTAGAAATAAGATCATGATACTGAACTCGAGTCGAAAGGAACATCATTTTTCCCATCCCTCACTGCTTCATCAAGAGCATCACTATTTCGACGAAGTCCTGAGGGACAACGGAGATCGAAAGCTGTCACTCATCACTAAGACCACCACGTAGACCCATTCAGAAGAGATGTTCACCGCGCTGACATGATTAAGGCGAAATCTGAAGTCAAACTACATCCAACGAAAAACGCAAGATACGACAGAACAAGAAAGGAGAGAAGCAAATGCGATCATTTATTCTAGTGTCGCACCTTTCTGCCAGTCGGCACATTGCGCATAGCCGCCGCCACTTGAGGATCCTCACAGGTACTACCGGGCTTCCTCCGGATCATCTTGATATCGTACGGCACGTCGGGATGGATCCTCAAGAAGTGCTTCTTCACATGATCGGCGCGGTTGAACTGCTTGGCACACACGAAACACACAAACGGCTTCTCCTCCTTGTGGATATTCTCGTGCCGCGTGAACAGATCACGGCGGTCCGTGGAATACGAGCAGTAGCCGCAGGCGTACTTTCTGACGGCGCCTGCGAGACCCCGGGAAGCCGCCCCATCATCACCGCCGTCGCGGTGCTGCCGCGAACGGGATTTCGACGATCGTTTGCCTCGGGTTGCGGGAACTGGTTTCTGCAAAGCTGGCTGATGGGACTCATTGGTTGTTTCACTCGTAGTAGACACTTTCACCTACGAAACGAAAGCAGTAACAGTCGAGATTATAGACAACGCCACCAGAATGAGCGCTCATGTTTTCACTTCGCCACAAACAAATTTGATGAGAGACTTCACGTCAGTTCAGCTCATTCTTGAGTATATACTTCGGATGATTCTCCGAAACCCGTGTCTCTATTCGTCATTGCACTTCGCTACGATGGGTGATGAAAAAATCTTCACCAGCAGTCACCATCAGTGCTTCAATTACTTTAGAGTTGACGAATTTTTCGATTTCTCGGCAAGTGAAATTATAAATTTAGCGTCTCAAATATAAACACGACTGTTCTTTCGCGATCTCACTGAATCATCAATAGGCAGCAGGCGGAAAGTTAGTAGCGGTCGAATTCAAGTTCAACAAGGAAAGCTCAACACGGTATTCGCGAGGGAATACTATACTCGATACTGTACCAACGGTACGGTACCGCAATTCAAATTTCGGATGAAGAGAGGTGAGAAAAGTGAACAGTAGTAAAATATGTGTTGAACCATCATCCAATGGACATTATTATCGAACCCTTTTTCTGAAGCCCACTTTTTTCTGAATTGCAGGCAGAAAAAAAATACCCCCCAGGAGTACTTATTTGATCCCAACAAACACTTTTCTTTCATCTCAGACACTCAGGGATCACAAGGCTTCCCTCTGCCTGACCCAACCTACTTATCAATCTTATAGCAGTTGACCTATGGGGAGTTTGGCAAGAATGTGGGTTCAACTAAAATAAATTAAAATTCGGTTTTTTGTAGACCCACAGCAAAACCCAGTGTCAATGAAGGGTATACCCACGGCCACACATCAAATTTACTCCTAATACAGGTGGACTCTCTCTACAACAAAATTGAAAGAAAAGAGAATAATTGTAGTAAGATTTTCAGATGATGCTCTTCAGTTTTTATATAGCATTACTTTACATTTATAACTTAGAAATAGCTAATTTTTTTAATCAAATGCAAAAAAATGCTTCTCTATTTCAGGGAAGAAACAATGGTTAATTAATGAATGCTATTCTTACACATGCATTTTTTCTTGCTCCAGGGTATATTTCAGAGGGAAAATTTACAGGATATTTTTTGAAGAGACGGTCTAAACTAAAACAACAGAATTAAATCTTACCCTTTCTAATTTGTTACCATTATTTCATAAAAAAGAGTCGGAAGTCATAGGAATAATTCTTCATATATCTGCTGTGAAAGCACTTATTTATAGCATTTATTACCTGTTTACAATATAATTTAAATTACACATGTTCCAAAACCATTAATATCCCTAAAATACATTTTTTTGTAAAGACTCATTTTTCCAAAAATTCCTTGGAGTTTGTTCTAACGAGATTTCACAGCATACATACATAAAAAGGTGGGGGATCAAAAAGAGTCTCCCCCACCAGGATAAATTGCAATATTCACGACATATCGGACACGGTGATTTGTAATTTCGATCAAACAAAATTACCACTCAATAATTAATATGACATCAGTAGTCAATGATTCACACACAAAATAATAATAATAATAATAATAATAATAGAAAAAAATGATTAAAAATAAGTGGAACGTACACTGGCTTCCACGTCGGCCTTGAGGTTGGTGAGCAGGGTGTCCACCTGGACCAGGATCGGACTGCTTTTCCACATGAGGGTTTCGGGCAGGTCGCCGTGGGGTTCGTGGGCCCTCGTGTAGTGCATCCGGACGCAACGGGCCCAGGCCGAGTTGTAGGGGCACCGCGGGCACTGGAACACCCGCATGTTCGCATGGGTGCCCAACCAGTGCTCCGCAACCCGGGCCAGGAACCCGATGCACGACTCGCAATCCGCACACTTGAACACCTACGCAATAAAAAAATAATAATAATTGATACATTTATAAATTCAAGGAATAAATTGTTGAACAAACATTGATCCGCTAAAAATAATTTCCAATTTTAACGAAGCATTAAGAAAAAGATCCATTGAAGACAACAACTCAACAAGTGAATCCGCAAAAAGTATACAGTACTTCTAAGAAGTTTCCCTGATTCAGTAAATCATATTAATTTTTTTCCGCAATTTTTAAGTTTCCCCGGGAATTTATCGCAATTTTAGAATGTTCCTTCTGCGAAATAAATGACAATTCGACAAATAAAAATAAATAAATGAATAACATTCGAATACAGGAAAGAAAATGTCGTTATTATGAACTCGTCATTATAAAAAAAATGATTCCATGGTCGCAACAACAATTACGGTTGACGATGTTCCTTTTGATAATTTCTTTTAAAATTTTATAAACTTTCCTGAAAAGCAGTCTTCGCTCGTTGAACGGAATTAAATGAATTCTTCAGAATGTACTGCAGTGGAATTAAGTCAATAAAAATTCTCCTTACCGGAAAATTATACGTCATAATTTTATTCGATTCCACGCAAATAGATTAAAATGCGGAAGATATACAGTATACCATATCTCTAGATAGAAGAATACGAATTCATTTCTTATATTTATCACATTTCCTGCTTGTATAGTTACGTAAATAATTTCTTCTACACAGTATGAATTTTGGCAGGCAAGGACTTCTCTTCTGATTCAATTATCGCCGAAGAGCAAAATCTGAGAGTGCAGAAAAATTCATTTTTTGCCGAACTTAACTTCAAAATTTCTGACCACCAGGATAAACAATTATTTTGTCAGCTCGTACAGTTCGCTTATTTTATCCAAAAATGTGTTTGTTTATTTCTTCGACTCTTTCTAAAAAAAATAATAAAATGAATACCTCCATGATATTGAAGCAGTATCATTCACGCAGTCATGTACTGTACTGTACTTTTTTTTATACGGATACTGTAGTGCGCTAGTCTTCAAGCGACACCTAGGTGACATTTTTAAAGTACCTCTTTGAGCGTTTGCAAAGAGGAAAGACAGATGAAACTCCTCGCCCAAAAAAAAATGTATTAGCACAGAACCCCCCAGCAGAACGAACCTTGAGCACTGGATTATAAACCCCTATCTTTGAAGTGGTCCAAGGGACGTGTTCGGAGGATGCAAACCAGTCTTCACGAGACGCCACCATTTTCGTCGCTTCGGACACATTCAAGTCTTCATCATCATCTTCGTCTTCGTCGTCCTCTTCTTCGTCTCTTCGTTCTTGTTCTTCTTCGTCTTCATCGTCTTCGTCACGTCTTCCGCGGGATTTCCCAGCTGGGTCCGAGAAGATCTTCTGCGTGACCCGTTGCAGCAAATCGGGTTTGGGTTCGCGGTTGCAGCTGGTGATGGTGGTGGTGGTGGTGGTGGTGGTGTTGTGGTCCTGGGAACCCGTGGCTCGTTGCTGGGAACACGCATCGTCTTGGGCACCCACTTCCAAACCCCGTTTCTCCACGTCCGCGTGGCCCATGATGGCCAAAAGGAGTCCCAACAAACACACACACGGGTTTTCCTGCATCACAAAACAACAAGGGCAAAAACATTATTTCGAGTATCCCAGAAATTAATACTGTGACACCATATAAACACTGCAACTAAAAAAAAATTCGAACTTGAAAGATTTTCAGACTGAAGACAATTTGAATTGATGCCATGAAAATTGAAAGCGAACGCATTTTTATTCATTATATACAGTAAAATGCCGTTACAACGAAATTTCGTTATAAAAAATGAATCTTCTCCTGGTCCCAGCAGCAGTTTCTTCATGGGGACAATAAAAATTCCGCTATAACAAACTTATTTTCCTCTATTTTTTCTCAGTATACAATTTTTTACCTTGATTATTTGTCAAGGGGAAACAGAAAAAATTTGCCCAGTGGCACAATCTGAGAAAACCCACTTCCTGCATAATTGAAAAACCTTCAAAGAACAAAAATACAACATTTTTGCACTGAATATTTAGTGTAAGAGGAATTATGAAGCTGTGATAAAATTTTATCTGCTTTATTGTAAAAATTAGAAATAAAATAGGAATTATTTTTAAAGAAAATTATGTTTGGTAGGATACTGGTATATTTCAAGGAACTCACAGTTCTTAAAGAATAAATGCCCTTCTTACAGATGCATCTTTTGTTTTTTTTTCAAATTACACTTCAAATAAGAGCTGTATATGATTAGAAAATATAAGACAGAAAAGCTTTGATATAAGATAATTAATTTTATTCAACGCTTTAATTTCTTCCCAATTATTTGAATTAAAGGAGTTTGAAATGCAGGATTTCTTCACATATCTTTTGTTGAAGTACTGTACTCTACCGTACTTGAAAGCATATAATACCGGTTTCCCATAGATTTCAATTCTATATGCTCAAAGAACTCTGAATCTCGTTATAAGGAACTTTCCCCGAGGTCCTCGGTAGTTCGTTGTACCGATATTTTACTGCACTGGGTTTTTTGCAAACGTAAAAATTTGAAGGTTTTTTTTTTAAAACTCACAACATAGATGTGCCCCGGTTAACAGACTTCATCCAAAATTTGTCAAAGGGATAAAATAATTTGGAATCACTTGAAGTTGGTATAGCAGTACAGTATATGTCAAAAGATCCAGAACAGCGTCCCAACATTTCCGACTCCCAACTCTTCAGAATAATGTGGATCACGAAAACTAGATTAATTAAACTTTCCAGCTTTAGGCTTTTTACAACTTCTCTCCTAACCCTCCCGGGGGGGGGGGGGGGGGGGGGGAAGTCGCCTCAAAATAAAAATCAGAAGAATCCTAAAAATATACCTTCCTACGTCCAAATCTTGAGTCTCAAAAATCACTGCAAACCCCCCGCTTTCAAAACACACACGCCAATACAAAAAAGCTCCGGAGCAGCGTCCCAACATTTCCCTGTCCCAACTCTTCCCCAGCAAATGTTGAGCTAGAAATATCCCCTTCCCCCCACCCCCCTGATTAATTCAAACCCGAATGAATACCCGCTTTCAAATCAATGCAGAAAACCAAGTCTTCAAAACCTTCATCCAAACAAAAATTCCCAGAAAAAAAAATTATCAGGCATAAAAAAAAGCTTACAAAAAGTTATTCTCAAAATGTGTCCAAATCTTCAGCAAAACTCACAAGTAAACAAATTCTTAAAAAAACCTCTCGCTTAAAATTTTCTTCTTTCAAGTGTCGTGGAAAATGTTGAATCAAGGGCTTGGACTAAAACTTCCTTCATATCCCCCCCCCCCCCCAAGATGTCAACTCCAAG